AATAAACAGTGAGGGGTATTAATACACTAGATATACACAGCAGCCTGAGAGCAGTATGAACAGTGTGTATGAATATGCTATAGGCCTATATAAAGTATGAAAACGGTAAGCAGTGCAAAGTATAAAATATATAGATATTAATTTCATGATGATAAACATTGTGGAACAATGATGAAAAATGGGAATGGATGTGGCGACGTAAAACTGACACAAAACAACAACAAACTTTTGCCGAGCCAATTGGAGAGTTTCATCACCAGCACGTGGTAAAAACCACCAATGAGCGCTCAGCTCGAGATACCAGCGAGACGTTTCCCATCAAGCATTTCGCTTCCGCAGCCCGTGGAGAGGAACTGCGCCGCCTCGCCGCGCCTCGCTCTCAAGGCTGCGGGCGTCTTTGTCCCGCGAGATTTCAACGTCTCATGTAGGCGGGCCTCCAGAGCAAGTCGGACAAAATGACTAACCATCATGCAACGCACTAGCAAGACGTTGATCGCAACTGCGCAGGTCTGCGCAGGTCTCGCTTGTCTCAAACAAGCCTAATACCAACAGATCAACGCAAAATCAACCCATCCAGGACATCTCTTTCTCCACATTACGTGTTAGGCATTAGAATTGACTATTCTTGTCTGTCACATACTCTTTTGTCTGTCACATAAATGGCGCAAGTTGCGCAACTGATGCGGTATTGCGCTAAGCGGAAATTATTTTGAACGGACACTTTGACCGGAGAGATTTAGATTTGCCGGTCTTCAGCATATTTTACCGGTCGTAGTCCGGTAATTACAGGCTAACGGGAACTCTGGCATTTAGAGATATTGTTGTGGAGAGTCATTTATATATAAATCGCAAAATACATTTGTGAATCCTTCTGTGAGCATTTATTAATATTGAGACTGATCTGACTCCATACCGATGTTCACCTAGAAATGGTATCATTGACTTAAATGTTCTCTCTGCCGTCTATGTTGGTCATATGATGCCCCTTGACTGAAATGCTTCCTGTTCAATATCCCCACTGATTTCCTTAACATTCTGGGATGAGAGTCCACATCACAATTTACTCTAAACTGTCATTTCCCTTTCATCACTCACCTCAGCAATGGACCTCTCTCCACTGTCCCTGTGTTCTGCCTCTGACTCACTCTCAAGCGCCTAGATGTCAAGAGAGGTGGTGAAGTGATCATTATGTATTGAGCAGTATACTCTTTCACATTGAATCATAACAAGTCATACTGAATGTAAATACAACTGACTCTAAAGTAAGTCCCAGTCTGTGACATTGGACATTTTGAAGACTCAAAGCCCCAAGCAGTAGGTAGAATATTAGCTAGTCTGTAATGTGCACAGAAAATAAATAGCTAACTGAATACTGGGATGGAAATTGCCTATAAGCACTCAGTAAAACATAAACACACACAAAAAGCTTCTGAATGATAAGAAGTATAATTAAAACATAATGCACATTACCCTTTTGAGAGAGAGTACCGAAGTTAAAGAACTCAGAAAATAATCTCAGTTAATCTCTTAACTGAGGCTCCAGTTAAACACACTGACTGCGTCTCTACAGTACATCATGGTGTTTACATGAGCACAGAGAGATCGGTTATTCATGTTCCCTGTTTACATGATAAATACTAGTAACCTGGCATTTCGATGCCTTTTCTCATCTAAACGATTCAGTATTTGTATCTCTATCATGACATAAAGACGAAACTCCTCTCCAGAAGTGAGACGCTTTTGCCGCCATCACTGTTAACTGATTAACTGCTACCAGCTGATGACTTGCTTTCCTCTTCTTTGAAAAAAATGTTCTTATGTCCATGTTGTCTGGGGGAGAAAACATATCAAACCAAGAGATCGTAAGCTTTGATTTTCGCTGTATTAACAATGTGGTGTGTGTGCCTTACCTCCGCTACCGGCATCGCTTCATACAACAGATCTGAGCTGTCCAACTATGGCAACACTCCTTGAACGTGCGCGCGCTATGGGAGAATCTGCCTTGCAGTGAAAACATGGTACGGAGTTTAATTGATTTGGGCATTCTCTCAATAAGCAAGTGGAATGGATTTGATAGTGAAGCACTGACACAGCGCTCTACAAAGTGCGGCGAGTGGATAGATCGATTCACGGACTTTCCACATGGTAGAAGTGGGGGGGTCTAAACTAATCATTTGAAAAAGTGGGGGGGACTTGTCCCACCCTCATATAATGGCTGCGACGCCCATGGTATCTAAAAGTATCTTAGTAACACAAGAAAAGAGAAAAAAGCATTGATGTTAACAAAACTGGATTGTTCCACTGAAATAGCGTTAAAATCAAAAGTGCCTTTAAAGAAAATGTATTCAGACAAAGTATTTTATTTTCCAAAAATGTTATGGTTTTGCATACATAAAAAAGTGTATTTACAGTTCCTTTGTGAGAGAATTACACACAAATCTGCCAATTGTCAGTAAAAAGTGTTAAAATCACAAACTTGCCTTTTAGAGAAACAACCTTTAAGAAAAAATCTAATCAGACAATGTACGTCATTTTCTGTTTTAAGGTTTTGCATACCTCAAAGTGTATCTAAAAGTATCTTGGCAATAGAAAAAAGCCAAAATCATCACTAGGGCCAAAAGAGTGGATGGAGGGGGTCTGAAGGACGGGTTTGGGCTGACAGCCCAGGGGCACGGCAGAGGACCAGGAAGGGGTCTCGGGCGGACGGCCCGGGGGCAAGGCAGAGTTCATTGTGGGGGTCTCGGGCGGACGGCCCGGGGGCAAGGCAGAGTTCATAAAGGGGCGAAGGCCACAGCGGGCAAACTCAGGGGGCCGAGCATGAGGGTGAAGGCAGCGACTGGAAGAGTCAGGGGCCGGGCCCGAGGGCGAGGGCCACGGCCGGGAAAGTCAGGGGCTGGGCTCAAGGGCTAAGACCGTGGCACTCAGGGGGCCGGGCTCGAGGGCGAAGACAGCGGCTCTCAGGGGGCCGGGCTCTCAGGGGGCCGGGCTCGAGGGCGAAGACCGCGGCCGGGAAACTCCGGAGGACGGGCATGTAGGCGCTGCCTTCTGGGTCCCACACCATCTCCTCAGTCTTCTTCACATTCAGCACAAGATGGTTAAAATCACACCACTGCACAAATCTGTCTATTCAGAGTGGTACGCCGATGAACTGCTGCCCCTGTGCATTAAGCCAAGGATGGCCGTATCATCGGAGAATTTGATTATATGGTTCTCGGGGTGGATTCTAGTGCAATCGTTTGTGTACAGTGTGAAGAGGACTGGGGAGCACACACAACCCTGGGGGGCTCCCGTACTGACTGTCCAGGGCTCTGAGAGGGCATTGTTGACCCTGACGTGCTGAGTGTGATTGGTTAAAAAAGAAAAATACAATTTCAAGATAAAAGGATTTATACTAATCTTTATCAGTTTTTTAATCAGAAACAGGTTTATTACCAGGTAGGTTTTTATGCACCACGACACCAAGTCAAATTCCTCATACGTGTAGTATGAGGAATTTGACTTGGTGTCGTGGTGCATAAAAACAAGAATTAAAAACACAGGTAGAGAACTAGAAAAATATTACAAATAATTAAAAAGATATAGTCAAATATAACAGTATTTACATTGCAATGGAATGAATAGAGGAATAAAATATGGAATAGAAATCAGCTGTAATACAAAGATGTGAAGCAAGATGCGAGGCTGCAATGTGTTAAAATGAATGCTCTAAAGATGTTAAAGAAATGTTAATGTTCAACAGTCTATGTAGCATTTGTGCTGCATTCGTGAAATGGTCTAACAATCAGAAAAATGAGAACACCATCGTATTTCACGCTTCTTCTGATCTGTTTCCTGTCACACAAGCATTGGAAACACTTGTTAAAATGTTATTTAAACGCTCTAGTTGAATCAAAATACAAAGCATATTTTTTAGGCTACAACGTCATTTAGTTCAAGTTAAAAGTTAAAGCCTTTTATTGTCATTGTACAAAAAATACAACGAGATTCAGAGTGCAACCGTGTCCCAGTGTGCAAAAACTAGACAAACATAACATTAAAAACACGGCAGTAGGACAGACAACATAAACAATCATACGGGGGGAATAAATTGTTAGAAATATTGATATCAAAATAGTTTTTAATTTTTAAAGTGCATTAAAAATGTGTATAAGGTGTATATGTGTGAAGATGATTACGGTTATTGCATTAAGTTCGGTTAAGCAGCCTGACGGCCCAGGGGTAGAAACAGTTTTTGAGTCTGTTTGTCCGTGACTTGAAGCTCCTGTATCTCCTCCCAGAAGACAGGAGAGAGAACAGTCTGTGACCTGGGTGAGAGCTGTCCTTTATTATTTGATTTGCTCTGCTGAGGCAGCGGGAGGTGGAGATGTGTTCCAGAGAGGGCAGGGGGCAGCTGATGGTTTTCTCTGCCATCCGTATCACTCTCTGCAGGGCTTTCTTGTCCGCAGCTGAACATCCAGCATACCACACAGAGATGGAGTATGACAGCACGCTCTTGATGGTCGCCCGGTAGAAGGACACCAGCAGCTTCTTGCTCAGTCGGTTTCTCCGAAGCACCCTCAGGAAGTGTAGTCGTTGCTGGGCCTTCTTAACTGCTGCAGTGGTGTGTGCTGTCCAGCTGAGGCTCTCCGATATCTGTACCCCCAGGAATTTAAAGGTCGATCCGTGTACAGCCATACAATTCCAACACTCCCTGTTACGACAATCTGGTATTTCAGTCTTTGTTACCGGAGATCCCGTCTGGAAGACGTTGTAAAAAATCATTTCAACTTGAAGTGCTGAGAAGCAGCAGTGCGCTCAGGTGCAGCGCATGTGCAATGGCATGCATTCTCTTCTCATCGGAAACAGTTCAAAAGATGCTGGTGTCAGAGAAGGTGCTATGTACTGTACACTAGATGTTTGGAGTGAACCACATGGCATAGTGTTAGTTGGAGATAGATTTGTAATGATTGCAATGTCAGCTCTCTGTAACCCTTCCTCTTCTTCTTCCTCCTCCTCCGCAGAGCGTTGGTGTGAGCGGTATGGAGACCTGCCGGGGGAGCTGCTGAGCGTGGAGCTGGAGAAGGAGCGCCAGGGGCTGGGTATCAGTCTGGCAGGAAATAGGGATCGTTCCCGCCTCAGCATCTTTGTGGTGGGACTCCATCCGGGGGGGCCGGCAGCTCGAGACGGACGCATTCGGGTGGGAGACGAGCTGCTGGAGGTGAGAACATCGACATGATGGATCCCCCTGAAACTCCATACAGACGTTCATGTTCTCTTACTTGATCCCCAGACTTCTCCTGTAGCACCACCATAAGGTCCACCTGGGATGAAGTGAAACATCGTAACTGTTGTTTGGGTTGTATTCAAATATACATACATTCATGTTCTCCTGAAGATGAAATGCCATCATCAGCAACCATCATCAATATGTGATTCTCTACCGTTCCTCCCAAAGCTATTGCACTGTTTAGCATGCTAACCTGCTAAACCTCATCACATTACTCATGCCATCATGTTCCACTTGGTTGCATCATTTGTACAGCTGTAGTGTGTGTAGTGTGTAGTGCTGTGTGTTTTGACCTTGGAAGTGTTACAATCAGAATCATCAAACTATCATGTGGAAATGGAGCTGAGTCACTGCAGGATGTGTGAATCGGTGTATTGACTTTAATATTTATCATTGTGCAAATCAATAACTGCTAATCAAAACCCCTTTCAGCCAAAGGATGATATATGTCCCTGTGAAGTGTGTGATGTCTTGTGAAGTATCAATAACAATATATCATCACAGATGGGAGGTTCATTCATAACATATTTCGGTTTTTCTGTCAGATTAACAACCAGGTTCTTTATGGGCGGAGTCACCAGAACGCCTCGGCCATCATTAAGAGTGCCGCCTCCAAGGTGAAAGTCATCCTGCTCAGGTAGGACTGCAAGGCATGCTGGGTAACTCAAACTATTTACAGGAATGTAATGCCCAGACTGCACACTTAGATTTAAGGTTTACTCAAATCGGAAAAACTCTCACAACGAAACTGCATGCATGACGTGGATAACAAATATATCAGCAACTAAACAACATCTTTAATTTTCATTTTTGGCTGTACATTTACAGTAAATTACTGGCTACTAGTTGCATGGATTTCACAATAATTTACTGTAAATATTTCACAGTAATTTACTGTAAATATTTCACAATAATTTAGAATAGAAGTACAACTACATACTGTGACTTTACAGTTGCCATGCCCATGGAAGTACTGTGATATAGCAGTACAGAGCTGTGGTATTATGGTACCTTGCTGTACATAAATTACAGTAATTACCTGTATTTTCACACGTGGATACTAATAACTGGGAGAGGCGGTCGTGGGGAGGAGGGCTCGGGAGGTTCAGGGAGATGGGGGGAGAAATTGTGGCGGTGGATGTTGAGGGAGATGTATGTGTGTCAGATGCAGTGGATAGGGAGAGCACCCCTGCCTGGTAGATCGTTCTAGCTTAAACCAATTTGTAAGGTTGCCATTTATTTGTATTCTTGCCATAGGATCTTGATAAAGTGATTTAATGCAGTTGATTGATTCTTTACTAAAGCCAAATGCTTCTAGACAGAGATAGAGAAACTTCCAGCTAACGCTGTCAAATGCTTTTTCTGCGTCCAGACTTAGGAGTAATGCACTCTCCCCCTTTCTCTTTACTTCTTGAATTACATGTAATGTTCTTCTTATATTATCATGTGTTTGACGTCCCTTGATAAATCCTGATTGATCTTCGTCTATCAGTTCCTTCATGAAATTCTCAATTCTCTTAGAGAATATTCTTGTGAAGATCTTATAATCACAATTCAGTATTGATATTGGCCTATAATTTTCGCAGCATTTTTTGTCCCTTCCCTCTTTAGAGATAACAGTGATTATGGCCTCTTTCCACGAGGGGGGGATTATCCCCTTCTTTATAGTTTCGTTGAATGATGCTAGTAACAACGGAATAAGTTCATTTTTACACATTTTGTACCATTCGGAGGGGTACCCGTCACTTCCTGGTGCCTTATTATTTTTTAAATGATTAATTGCCTCCTCCAGTTATTTTCCTGTGATATCCGAATTAATGATATTATTTTGTACCCTCCCTATTGCTGGCCGGTCTAGAGAGTCGAAACATTTTTTAATTGTTTCCTCCCCTGCTGCAGCTGGCTGTGAGTATTTCGAGTTCGGTTTTCAGAAGTGACTCCATGTATTTGGCTGTGGAGCTCTCCTCCGTGCCCTCGGGTAAGCAAAACACTCGGATGTTGTTTCTCCTCGATCTCCCCTCGAGATCAGTCAATTTTCCTTGCATCAATCGAGTCGGCTCCATCATCACCGACATCACTTCATTCACCTCCGTCTTCCACTCTTCCATATCTTATATGCGCTCCAGCGCCTCGGCTATGCTCACCCGTTGCGCCTGCAGCTCTTTGTTGTTCTCCGTAAGTTTACGGTCGAGTTCTTGTCGCAGATAAGTGATGTCCTCCCTCAGCTCCTTCTTTATTTCGTCTTTGAATGTGGATAGTTCTTGTCGTAGTTCGAGTTTAATGTCTTTAATTTCTTTGCTAATGGCGGCAAAGCCTGCTCGCAGTGCATCTGAGCCGTCGTGTTCGCTAGTATGGTGTTCGCTAGCCTCGTGCTCAGGGATTTCATCCATTGTAGGTTGATTTTTCACCTTGCCTGGTCCTTTACAATTTTTACTGTTCCTCAATGTTTTTACCCCACTCATTCCTTACTTTAAACGTAGAGTTATTTGCATTTAGTGGGATAATTTGCCCGACCTGGGAGAGCCTCTCACTCACACAACCAGTCTCTCCGCCATCTTGTAGAAGTCCTCCAATCGTTTTTTTTTAACTAGTTTTTGGAAAATATCTGGAAATAAGATCTGTGTTTGACACAAATTTAAGAGACGGATCACATTTTGTTCTACGACATTAAATCCATCAGCAGTGACCCCACTGCAGATTTTTGAAGAGTTTACGTGTCTGAAAAACGATGGTTGTTAACAAGTGGCTGAATAGGACTACAGAAGTTGTGGAGGACGTTGTACGTCATTACACCGAACACGTAAACACTCCCGCTAAGTTTGTTTGCCGCTGTTCTGCTTGAAAGCAAGTTCCTGCCTCTTGCAAAGTGTTAAAACAAACGCTTCAACTTGTACAATTTTGAATCTGTATTTTTTAATATCGATCTTAAGTTGGCGTGACGTTGAAGTTGTGCAACCTTCGGCTGTAGTTCGTTTATAGCATAACGTTAGCATTTTGCTTCTGGCGATTAGATTTATGATTCGAAAATGATAAAAGTAGGGTAGACATGTGGAGATTATCCAGCTGAACAAAACGTGCATTTATCTAACAGGTACGTTTTGCACAGATCTTATTTTTTACAATTTTCCAAAACCCTATGGAGAAATCCCATTGCTTTTTTGTCGAGGGAACCCATGCGCAGCTTTCTTCCGGGTCAGCCTACAAAAATATGTCATCCCTGCACCACTCTATTGAGAATGTAGACTGGCAGAAAGTGTGGGTCTATGCCGGGAAAATATCTATTTGTAATCGAACCAAATCTACACAGTTGGATCCCACATCGCACACATATAACAAATGAATGCATCTCCGCTCTGAAGTAAATGTAACTCTGAAATCGTATTCACTGTTTCTGGTCATGTGTGAAGCTAGAACACTACTGGTCTGGTATTGTGAAAGAACTGTCTATTATTTGTGGTGTTCCTATGTGCCTCCTGCTTGGTCTTCCAGATGGTCATATTACAAATGTCAAACACAAGATCTCTCTAGCCTATTGACCTTTGCCGCTAGGAAAAAGGTTTTACTGTTTTGGATCAAGGATGTTGCTCCAACAAAGAAATGGTGGCATACTCTTGTAATGGAGTGTATCCCTAACGAATACGTCTCATGTATGCTTCATTGTTCAGTGGACGCTTTTCATAAAGTATGGGCCCCTTTCTTGGACTATATTGGACCCACGCTGTCATCTTCTATATTACGAGTTTGCTCCTTCAGCCTATCGCTTCTATGTACTTATTTAAAAATGTTTAACTATTTACTATAATAACTATTATCGCATTTGTCTTTTTGTTGTTGCCTCTCTCCTATGGGTAGATAATGGTAGGGACTGGGGATCCGTATACTGTCCAGTGTTTTTTATTATTTGTATTTCTTACTCCTACCTATGCACCTTACTTGTCATGTCAAGTTTGAGCTGTTGTGTTGTAATTAACAAAAATGTATAGAGATATTATTCAAAAATAAATATATATAGTCAAAAATAAAGAAATGCAGTAAATGACAGGTTAAAATGTATCCTGATAAACCGGTCACAGTGATACTCTTCAGTATTACCAATGTGCAACAAACAGACACATGAAAACCCTCAAACTATGCAATATTAATAAGCTACCATTTACCCATCAAATGTAAACCCTGATACAAAGTGTAGCAGCTGCCATGTACCCATAATGCAACTGTACACCAGTTATATGTAAGATGTATCAGCTAATGTTTCCTGAGCCTCTAACAGCGGAGATGAGTTTTTATAAATGTTCAAATGTATAGATGGTAGTACAAACCAGAGCCTGGTTC